ATTTGCTTATTTAATATGTCATTTGTAAATGGACTATATATTAGATACACATGTAAATATGTTCCTGAGAATTTAAAATACGATATTCCTCCCAATGGGCATTTATTACTGATAAAATACTTTTTTTTCAGGAATAGCTTTGTTCATCGTGCATTATGCAATCAATTAGTTATGGTTTACTCTCCTAGATTTGCACGTTCATTCTCCTGATAAAATACTCATGAAAAGAGATGGTCAAAAATACATATAAAATATGAAATTTAAATTTAAATTGTGCACATGACTTTAAACACGTTTGAAAGAACTGTAAAGGATTATCATGGGTTTTCTTTGCCTTGCCAATGATAAAGGTAACCTGGAGCTGAAACCTGATTATTTGCAAAGCATATAAGCAACGTCCTTACCTATGTGTTCTGGGGCCTGAAGTCATACCAGCAGACCTGATGGCCACATACTTTAAATATCTAACACAACAATCATCATAAATAGGCATATGATTAGACTGCTCAAGAAAATTCTACCCTAATTTATAATATTTTCACATACATTATTTGAAACAATTTAATTCAAATAAAGTACTATTAATAATCAAAGATAAATGAAAATAGCAAGGGAAAGAGGTAAAATGCTTTTAAAGAGTCAAAACTGTGATTTCATAGACCATAATTCCTCTGAGCAATGGTTCTTTAATGTGAAGATATGAACATCAGAAAAAAGCTACCACCTTTTAAATTTTAATACTTTATCACAAAGGTGTTTAAGCAAAGTAATAAACAAACTGAAATTGGGGAATCAATTTACAGGTGAATATTCAGCAAATGCTAAAAATTAAGGACATAGACCATGCTAGAATCTGCTTTTGGTAGCACATTCCTAATGATCCTAAATTCTATCTTAAAGTACAGGATCTTTCAGAATACTGGGAAATTGGGAGTGTCTGTTGAGGCTTGATATCATCCTCTCTACAAGTAGACATGTAGTCTACTGAATTTGTACAAGAAAGGAGAATAAATGCATGCATTGTATGGTTAGAAGCTAATGGTTCTTAACCTACTCATAACCTATTTTAAGAATTTGACAGCTGATTTTTTTGAGTTCTAGATAGATTCTGGTTATCAGCCCTTTATCAGATGTGTAGAGAGCAAATATTTTTTCCCATTCTGTGGGGCTGTCTATTCACTCTAATGATAGTTTCCTTGGCAGTGCAGAAGCTTTTTAATTTGATTAGATGCCACTTATTTATTTTTGTTGCTGCGGTGATTGCTTTGGGGTTCTTCTTCAAGAATTCCTTACCTAGGCCGATGTCTGAAAGGGTCTTCCCAACATCTTCATTTAGAATTCTTAA